CTTTGTAATTATTATGTTGGTAAGACAATTTAATTTATGAAATTAGCAGTTCAGTAATTCTTCTTTATTACAGATGTTTAGACTATTAAGCTTTGCTGCTGTGCCTGGCATAATTTTTCCGATGTTCGATTATAGAAACGAGTTTGAAAATTTTCAAGTAGGTCTTCTATTTGTTATCGCGTATGCTGTTTGGAATTTTGGGTCTACTATAACGCTGATTATTGCATTGAGAGGACTGTATAAGGTAAACTTCTTGAATTGCGCAAAATATGTTTAAAGGTGGTACCTACCCTACGCTGAACCAGCAATATATCTTCAAGGTACTAATCATCGCTGTTTCTACTAGATAGATGTAAAAAAATGGTGGCCGTCGCGTACAATAGTACAATAGTAATTCAAATTGTCATACTTTATATTACAAATTCAAAAAACCACTCATTCTTTTTTGCTGTTTAATTCTAAGCGATTTCTATTCCAGAATGATGCAGGTCTGCTGTTTCCAAATTTGGTTGTGATGCCAATGGAGATCATTCTAACCGTTGTGTCTGGCATCGTTCTTCCTCTTGGCGCAGGGATACCACTCTTTGCTTTGTATTTGTTGGTTTCATGTAAGTATGTAGCATTTTGAAAGTATGACTAAGAGTTCTATGTTTCAGTTGTCCACATTTATCATTTCATGTGTGTTTACAGTTTGTATAAAAAATTTAAACGTGAAGAAACTGTTACTCCAGCTAATGCACGGAATTTAATTAATTCTGTGTAGGATCTTCTTCACGAATTCATTTATTTGTGTTTCAGGATTGTTTTGACTAACTCACTTTCATTTTTAATGTAATGAATTTTTTTGTGTTCTAGAGTTATTCTTAAGTTTATGTATACGTTGTCATTCTATCCTGGTATTTAAAGCTAATCGTTATGTATAAATTGTACATTATTATGTTGTGTATGTTACAAACATTGCGACCGATGTATAGTTGTTGTTTCACTTCACTTCATCATGACATTTGTAGTACTTTTTAAAGTAAATAGTTTTTCACGAAACTGGAAAAATCCAAAATCCCTACCATGATCACACTTTCACACAGAACATGCGGAAGAGTTCGTTCGCTCAACTCATGCAAAGCCGTAATAGTAAAAACTCGACCTCATCGATGATCGCTGTTGGAGGGAAGATTTTTTGCTTGCGCAGACAGGCAGATGAAGAAAAATGAAAATAAGCGCTAACTACTTTAATAGGTTGTTCAAAAATTTCCAATGTTTAAATAAATATCAAGTGAAGTATTTGCCCAATAGGTACGTTGGCTGGAGATCGCTGATGCGGTTGAAAAATGTGTTCGACATAACGGTGTATACTATAACCTGGAACTTAATTAGAAAAGGATAGATATCTATATGGGTTTGAAAGTTTCAAAATATATACCAATGAAAATCTTTGTTCCGGTAGAAAAGGGGGCTATACCTATAAATTTTCATTTTCAAAGAAAGGCAGACCTTTATAAATATTTTTACTTGTTCTAAAGCACTCTTTGTGAATATCGAGGTAGGTGTAGGGTGTACGGCTATAGGATAAAAAATCACATTTCGTTAAAGAAACTACAATACGCGTTGAAGCATCGGAACTAATTTTTTTTCTCCCGTCTGTCTTTTTGGTAAGTTTGAAAGGGTACGAGTAACATCTTTATTCATTCGTTAATTTCGCCGGCGCTGTGGAACGAAATGTTCGGGCCATAGTTTTTTTTGTTAAGATGGTAGAGTAAAGAGTAAAATCTTCATATTACCAATTTCAGCGAGAAATCAGCAATACACTTTGCTTTGGTGTACAGGAACTAAAGTCAATCCAATCTCGGTACGCTTTTTGGCCAGGTGCATTACAATTTCTAACGAATTGGATTTGTTTCCAATTTGTTTTCTGTTGGTATTGATACCAGATCCACGAATAGCAAGCAGTGGGTGGTTGTATTAGTCCATTAGCAGTTTTTCGTTTTTTTTCTCGCCATGTATTTGTGAAAATCAAAATTGGTTGCTCCTTTATTTCTTTGATAAGCGGATATTCCCGATACTTATCTAATCATATTGTAAAAATAGCATAACACTTGCCACTCTTTGTTGCTACTTAGTGGTGGAAATAAAAAGATTATCTTTGTTCTTTAGGTTTAATTTTTGTAATGCTACTTTTGCATTCATGCGAGTTGGGACTTCTGAAATCTTTAAAATGATATTTGCTACATAAGTCGAAAGTTGTATGAACGGAGAATTGTGAAAAATAATATTAGAATGATAAAATTTTAATTCTGCGAAAAGTCTCAGAATATTCGGAAGGTTGTGGGTTCGAATCCCGCTGCCAACTGCTCCGCCTGGTGTTTTGTCAAAGGGTTTTTACATTCCCCTTCGCCTCCGGTATCCCTTGGGGTGTCGGAGGAAACACGTTGGCCTTTTTCCTTTTTTAACCAGCACCTATTTATACTGCAGCTTTTAATTGTGCATTAGCTACTTGCCCCATTTGGAAATAGGTAAGATCATTTTCTGTGTGATTATCGACGCACGGCCTCTTTTGTAGAACAGACTGTATACTTACAATAACAATAAACTGTACCCAATATAGACAACGCGCGACAAAGTCACTTTCGGTCGACGAATATTGATTAAAATTTAATCAATTAGTCCCTTGACCATTGTCTACCTATTGCTAAAAACAGAATTGGAAAATTCGAAACCGCTAGTGAGTTATCGTGTCCACAGACGGACGGGCAGAAAGTACAAAATCATAAACTCGTTTTTGTCGCTCGCCGCCGTATAATTGAATAATTATTAACTGGGAATATTATTTCTCAGTTGAATATTATTTACAATTCTAAAGTTGTTTTTCAGAATCCTCAAATTTAAATTTTTTGCATTTGACGCCGTCGTAGATAAGAAACGGCTTTACATTTAAATTTAAACTACGCGCGTAACGTCATTGTCATGACAGCACAGTTGGCTAAACTGTATTGGTTGCTTCGAGAGACGAACTTCCCTTCCTTATTGTTACATATTTCGCGGTAATGTGTTGACGTTCGTCGTTCTTTGCCATTTTGTGTCAACTGTAGCCGTATAGTTATAAAATTACGTATTCGGGTATTCCTCTTTTCTAGCTGCATATCTCGACACTGAACTCTTCAGAAAAGCGGTAAGACATTTTAATTTAACGTTACATTTTTCAAATTTGAATGACAAGTAGGTTTACTTGTAAAGTGGAAATACCAAACAGACACAAACATAATATTCAAATTTGTAACCCAAGTATAATTATTTCGTGCCGTAAATGAAAGGCCCAGTTTCTAATAATGTTATCAGTTTTTATACTACTCTCTCGCAACTGCAATGCAAGCGGTTCTCTTATGAAACGTGAGATACATCACATTGTGCAAGACGATCGCAAGATGACAATGTAAACAAATCCATTAAAACGAGAAGAAATTAAAAGCTGTAAAAGAATCGCACATTGTAAGTCACAATATTAGAATCCCCAGACCAGGTACCCCTTCACATTTTTTACAAGTGTTCTAGATAGCAAGGGATGTTTTGTGGTTTGTTTTCGTGACATCAATGAAACAATTTTTGCCTGTTTTGTCCTTATCAAACTTTAATGTTTTACCTAGTGCTTTTACAGGGTGAGTTTCTTTTCGAGTTCAATTTCATTTGCTCATATTTGAAGCATAGCTAACTGGAGAGATTTTAGAAAACATCCCTAAGTTATGTGCTTAAACGGTGCGCAAGTGAATTTTTCGCGTAGGTTTAGTGCTGGAATTCACATTAACGTTTTTTTGTAATGAAAATCATAGTTAACTATGAAATATAACGGGCGATCAAAAATGAGTGGCGGTCGAGTCGCCTTTGGAAGTTCAAGTTAAATTTTCCATGTAAACAAACATTCCAAAGGTGACTCGACAGCAATTCCTTTTGATCGCTTACTATAAGTAATGGTTACTATTCCAGCAAAAAAAATCCTTCATTATAAACGGTAATCCGAAATTCAGACCGGAACTCCACAATTCCACCAAAAAATCATTCTCACAAACCCTTTTTATATTCCAAGATTTAAATTAGGAAGTTGATTTGTCATTTGAAATTATATTCATCTACCAAAATTGTTTTTGTCGCGGATAATTCTTGAGCAATCGTCAACATAGCGTTTTGCCACTATAGATGGTTTCCTAACTTCGTGCTGTTAATAGTTAATAAGTCGGTCTCCTCCTTGGCTAGCAAATTGGCGAAAGTGTAAGTGCGTCAAAGGCAGCGCTCTGTATAAAATGTTTGTAGAAAGTGTTGATGGCAATAATAATAATTTTAATAAAACTATAGGCAATTGCACTGAAAAATTACTATAAACGCATTTGTAACCTTCGTGATTGGATATGTATTTGGTATTTTCGGTAGAATTTCAATTATCTGTATCAAGTGTTGGACTCGGATGGCTCTTCAATGACACCTGCTCCACCATAAGTCGTTTTTTGTGACAAACACTAGATTCGCTCCCACAGTTGGTACGTCTTTTAGTACTTCTGAATGTTCGTAGCGTGTCCGAATCCGTTGGAGCACCGAGCACAAAACGAATACGCAATAACGCGTTCGTGCTCGTTCTGTCAAAAGTAAACGAGCATTATTACATTACACGTTCGGTTCGGATAATGTATATACCTACGCAGCTTTACACAAGTTATACAACTATTAATTGTAATATTTTGCTGGAAAATGTATTATCTACAGTCAATATTTACAGCTTTATTTTAGAACATGTACCTATATTTTGTTTTCTTTTATTTTGCAAATAAACCGAAATGGTCTAAATAAAGTGGTTCACTTGGTACGGTCAAGGCCTACTTCTGACGTTTTAAATAGGTTAAGTAAATAGGTAAGTAAACAATGGCAAGTGCGCTTGATTCTGTTGATATGCGGGCGGGATAGAATAACAAAGGAGCGTCTTTGTCTTACATCGGTAAGAAAAGTGAGATAAAAGATATATAATATTCTTTGTCTAAAAATGTACCTCGAAATGTAGGTACCTTGTAAAAAGCTCACCTTTGTTCATGTTATGTATTATTAAAGGTTTGTAACATAGATCACTTCTAAAATCAGTTATTGTGTCTGTCACACACTCATAGAACAGGATGGTCTACTGACGTTGCCTAAATCGTAACCTACTCGAATTTTAAGAATACACAAGTCTACGAAGCACAAGATATAGTAAATAAAATATGTATGTTTTCTTATTTTGTTTCAGTATTACACAATTCTTTAAAAATGGCATTATCTAAGTTTTGTGAGTATTTCGACCTAAAGGAAGGATTTAAGGCCTTTGCGATTATTCTGTTGGTAAGACATTCGACTCAATTAGCAGTTTAGTAATTCTCCTTTATTACAGATGTTAAGACTGTTAAGCTTTATTGCTGTGCCTGGCATATTTTTTTCGATTCTCGTTTCCAGAGAACTTTATTCAGTATGTGTTGGATTTGTTACCGTATATTGCATCTGGAATTTGGGGTCGACTATAACGCTTATATTTGCATTGAGAGGACTCTACAGGGTAAACTTTTATATTGCGCAAAATATGTTTAAGGGTGGTACTTATCTCCTAACCCTAAATCAGCAAACCTTATATAAGTGACCCGTTCTTTCGATGTGGTAGACGTAAAAAATGCTGGCTGTCATGGCAAGTTGTGAAAAATGTTTCCCATGATTCATTTTGCGTCGATGATTTCTGATTACACTTCAGCGATCTTTTATCCAACGAAAACTATTTAAGTACAAAAATAATTCAAATTGCCACATTTTATTTGATAAAATTCATAATACCACATTCTTTTTATTATACCTGAATCACAATCCGTTTTAAACACTCAAATTCGTGCGAAAAAATGCCTGTAAAACACACGTACTTTAAAGGCGGCTCCACACGCAACGGAAAAACCGAAGGAATGCCTCGAGGCGCAAGACCTCAAGGAAAATCTCTATGTGTGTATGGAGAATTCTGTTGAGGTTTTCCTGCGCATCTGACGCCTGGAGGCCGGAAATTTCAATACAAAATCTCATTCGATTTGCCTCTTCTTTTATAGCGCCCCAAGGCCGATCGTATTGTGTGGATGGGTGGGAGGTAGGCCTTGAGGCGATTCCGTTATACCCTATACGTATACCGTGTGTCAACCACCAAACCTGGCCATAGACACATTTAAAATTACACAATTTTTAAGAAGAAATATGAGTCCATATGAAATATATATTTTGTTTAATGTCATATTGACACACAGTGTAGTTTTGTGTGAAAAGAGGTCCGTTGCATCAAGTTTTCATATAGTCATGGCCTGTGCAAAGCAAAAAGAAGAGGAATTTATAGCCAGAAATCGTAATGTGGCATTCAATCTTTCATGAGGTGTAATTGCGGTCCTCATTATGGTGTCCTTTTTGTAAATGATCGACGTGACCAATGATAAGAGCCTTAAATATGTGTCCTCATCCATCCGCAAATAATTGTGCCAATCTTTCGGTTTGAACCTCAGGTATTTTAATAAATTTACATGGAAGTAACATTTCCTTTTCTGTAACCAGTCTTTAGTCCAGAACTTTCGCTTCACTCTTTTTTTATTACTTTCGACAGCTAACAATAATCCAACAACAGGAAGAACGTTATCTGTCGACGTCATTTTTGCGCGAAACTGGCGTGCCTTAAGGCTGGCCTTCGTATATTCCGTAGTGTGTGGAGACCCCCTATAATTTAGGTTCGCCTCAAGGCCCGTCACCCCGAGGCATGCCTTCGGTTTTTCCGTTGCGTGTGGAGCCGCCTTAAAGAAAACGTCAAGTGACATTTCCATGGCAATCGTGAAATTCCGAAAACCCCGCCCACTTAATTTTAAGCATATATTCGAGTATATCAATATGATCTCATTGTATTTCCTATTTTTAAATTGTACTGCAGGTATAATAAAAAAATACTATAAGATACACGTGTATAATTGGTCTTTAAAGCACTTGCAACGTTAAACTCGTTGCGCGTGCTTTAAAGACTTGATTATACACTTGTATCTTAATATACTATTTTTGCAGTTTAATTCTTAACGGTTTTATTCTAGAATGATGCAGGTCAATTGTTCCCAAATATGGTTGTGATGCCAATGGAGATAATTCTAACGACTGTGTTTGGCATCGTACTTCCTCTTCTTGCAGGGGAACCACTCTTCGCTTTGTACTTGTTAGTTTTGTGTAAGTATGTAACATTTTGAAGGCATCACTAAGAGTTCTATATTTCAGTTATTCACATCTATCACTTCATATGTGTTTACAGTTTGTATAAAAAATTTAAACGTGAAGAAACTGTTACTCCAGCTAATGCACAGAATTTAATTAACCCTATATAAGGCTCGTCTCTATCAATTGATATATTTTTGTTTTAGTATTGTTTTGTATAACTTAATGCCATGTTTATAGTTTGACGAATTTCGTTTTGTATTGTAGAGTTATTCTTAAGTTTATGTATACTTTGCCATTCTATTTAGGTATTTAAAGCGAGACTAGGAAATGTGTCCCTTACTTATGCTAACAGTGATACATTATAAAGTTGTAGAACGTAAGAACTATTAATAATCCTATTCCTATTATCGTAATAAGCTTAATTTAACATAAGCTTTTAATATACCTACAGTTCGAATTTTGTAGTACTACCTCGTTTGTAATCTATCCGTTTTTTAACCTAACCTACCAATTACAATAAAAGAATGAAAATAATTAAAACATAAAGGGTACGCCAACATCTTTTACAGAAAGTTGGATTTTTGAAATACTAACATATTTATTTCGCAATCGAGACTAGTAGTCGTTTTTAAAAAAAGTTTTTGACGAAAGTAGAAAAATTCAAAATCCCTATCATGGTCATACAAATCTTGCGAAAGTGTTAGTTCACCTAACTCGAGCAAAGCCGTAATAATAAAAACTATAGGGCGTCGATAGATCCATCTGTTTGAGGGAGAAGTTTTACCTTGCACAGACAGACAAATGAAAAAAAATGAACTACTTTAATAGGTTGTGCAAAAAACAGGTTAGGTAATGCAGAGAAAGGTCGAAACGCTCTAAATAGATGTTCAAGGTGTCAATCTTATGTTTTATGTAACAAAGCGAATTCGAATTCTCACAAAAGGGCATCAAATTGTGGTGTGTTTATGTTTATTAAATGTGTCTAATTTCATGGTTTTTGTTGAGCACAGGGTATCAAACTGACTAAAACTGTATGAATGCCTATAAAACGTTACCCCTAAGTGTGGTGTCACACTATGCGTTTTTACCGCTCCCGCTAAAACGGATGCGTTTGACAGGATGATTATATCACACGTTATTAAATGGTATCAGTCACATATATGCGTTTTCGCCGCACAACCGGATGCAACCGCATCCTGCTGCCGCAGCGCAGGATGACATGACAACCACAATGACATGAAAGCACGTGGTTGTCATCCAATTTGTCATCAGTTGTCACACTGAGCGTTGCAACCTGGTGTTTTCTTGTGTTTACAATGTTTGATGTCAGCTTATTCATCGAGTGCGTGCATGCAAAAACTGCACTGTGGGAGAAACAATGTAAAGAGTATGGAGATAAAAACTGTAGGGAGAAAGCATGGGTAGAAATTGGAGAAACAGTGTATAAGAATTGGATGGAGCTTGATTCAATGGAGAGAGATGAGAAAGGTAGGTCATAACGAATTTTTCTGTTTACTTTCAGTATTATTTTATTTTAAAATAATAAAAAAATTTGTAATTACAAAAAGGCAAAAAATGTGGAATTTAGTACATGTAACTTCTTTGGAAATGTACTGCTCCAGCTCCCATAAAATACTGTGCAAAGTAGTCTCTAACATCCAACCCTCGGTTACGTTGGCCTTCTCCCAAATTACGCACATCGTCAAACGGATGGCTTTCAGTATCTGCATAGCTGTTACCATCTCTCTTACGAACAAAATTGTGGAGGATGCAACAAGCTTGCACTATTTTATCCACGAAACTAGGTTGCACAAGAATGGGAGTATGAAAAATCCTCCACTTGTTTGCCAGAACTCCAAAGGCGCACTCCACATTGCGTCTGCACCTTGATAGTCTGTAATTGAACACTCTTTTTGTAGCATTCATGTTGCGGGATGGATACGGTTTCAAGAGGTTCGTATGAAGTTTGAATGCCTCATCCCCAACCATTACGAAGGGTTGGGGAATTTCCTCGGGCTGGGTGTTCGGTAAACAACGAGGCGGTGGCAGATTCAAACTGCCAGAGTACAGTTTCTTGCCTAATGGACTGTCCCGAAATACAGTCGAGTCTCCTTCTTTTCCGTATGCACCAACATCAATTGCGACAAAACGGAGATTTGCATCTACAACTGCCATTAGCACAATAGAAAAGAACTTCTTATAATTGAAGAAATTTGATCCTCCTCTTCGGGGATTCATGCATCTTATTAGTAGAGTGCTCGTTGCAAAGAAAGTCGTCTAGAAATGACTTCCGTGGGGGTTTTGGTGTCACAAGCTGAAATTCACAAAAAATGAAAGGTCATCATATACTGATTCTAAATGTCAAGGCCGTCCAAAATCGGTCCATGCATTAGGGCACAAAACGCGAAAAACGAGTTAAGCACATGTACGGAAAGACGAAAAAATAACGAATTTTTTGGTATATAAATCAAAATTTTCTTTGTACAGTGAAAGCAATAATAAATTATCAAACGTTTCCAATTACATTGGGTCTTACGGAAGAATTAAACTTCAAACGCGATTATCTCAGTTCGATATCCCTAAAAATTTGACAAATTTTGAGCAACTTTTGCGTTTACATCGTATTATTTAATAAACGGAAGCCTATATCAAAAAGTTTTACTCTTAAAAAAAGTTTCGCTCATCGTTTATCTTTACATTGCACTGAGAATTATAATTTTATGTGCAATAGTAACCAAAATATGTAATTAAAAGTAAAACAACGAACTTTTTACTCACTTACAAACGAAGCGCTTTCGCTCCGGTGAATACAATCCATCTCTACATTTCCCGTAGCTCCATTTCGCTCTTACTCATAGGTACGTTCTCGACACGGGTCGGGTATACCAAAGCTTTGCCAATATAATTGATACAGATAATATTATTAATTACATAAATCAATGAATGTGAAACTCAAAAAGAGACCAAACCATAATTTTAAGAAACATAAAAAAAATTGTAGATACAGAACATCGCCTTATACTTACAACCCCAGGTAACTTTTTAAATGTGTCATACTAAATGATATGCACTTAATAACAAAACAATAATACCCTAAACTAACACGTAGCAGTAATGTGATTTCTTTTCCTAGGTAAGTGCATTAAAAGAATGACAAATAGAAAAAAATTTGATTCCATTTATTTACAACCTTTTCGTCAACTGAGCATTCAGAATCGCCGTGCTCTTAGATGTGATGTCAGTAGAATTTTGCACGATCTTTGGACCATGCTGGGGCATAACTTACCCTTTATACATTCAGTGAGAATTTAGAACAGTTAAATTGTTAGGAATTGGCCGCAATGTGATGAAAATGGGCAAAAGTTCGCTTTTTCTACTAATATAAGTACTATTCATTGTGGGGGGCAATTTTGGACAGGGTGCCATATTTTGATTTAAAAACACACCCTTAAACAGTGAGTATTCTGTTGGTGGCAACTTTTGCCCATTTTCATCACATTGCGGCCAATTCCTAACAATTTAACTGTTCTAAATTCTCACTGAATGTATAAAGGGAAAGTTATGCCCCAGCATGGTCCAAAGATCGTGCAAAATTCTACTGACATCACATCTAAGAGCACGGCGATTCTGAATGCTCAGTTGACGAAAAGGTTGTAAATAAATGGAATCAAATTTTTTCTATTTGTCATTCTTTTAATGCACTTACCTAGGAAAAGAAATCACATTACTGCTACGTGTTAGTTTAGGGTATTATTGTTTTGTTATTAAGTGCATATCATTTAGTATGACACATTTAAAAAGTTCCTGGGGTTGTAAGTATAAGGCGATGTTCTGTATCTACAATTTTTTTTATGTTTCTTAAAATTATGGTTTGGTCTCTTTTTGAGTTTCACATTCATTGATTTATGTAATTAATAATTATCTGTATCAATTATATTGGCAAAGCTTTGGTATACCCGTGTCGAGAACGTACCTATGAGTAAGAGCGAAATGGAGCTACGGGAAATGTAGAGATGGATTGTATTCACCGGAGCGAAAGCGCTTCGTTTGTAAGTGAGTAAAAAGTTCGTTGTTTTACTTTTAATTACATATTTTGGTTACTATTGCACATAAAATTATAATTCTGCAATGTAAAGATAAACGATAAGCGAAACTTTTTTTAAGAGTAAAACTTTTTGATATAGGCTTCCGTTTATTAAATAATACGATGTAAACGCAAAAGTTGCTCAAAATTTGTCAAATTTTTAGGGATATCGAACTGAGATAATCGCGTTTGAAGTTTAATTCTTCCGTAAAACCCAATGTAATTGGAAACGTTTGATAATTTATTATTACTTTCACTGTACAAAGAAAATTTTGATTTATATACAAAAAAATTCGTTATTTTTTCTTCTTTCCGTACATGTGCTTAACTCGTTTTTTGCGTTTTGTGACCTAATGCATGGTCCGATTTTGGACGGCCTTGACATTTAGAATCAGTATATGATGACCTTTCATTTTTTGTGAATTTCAGCTTGTGACACCAAAACCCCCACGGAAGTCATAATTTCTGCCACGGAGCACTCTACTATATATGCTTTCCATCTATCGTGCCTACACAGTTAGGAAAGTTTGTTTTTAAATAAAATTGATCTGCGATGCCCAACCACACCTCTTCAGTGGGTTCCGGCATTTCTTGCTCTTTCAAAGTACTCCAAATCGCTTCACAGGTTTCTCGGATTATTGTTCCAATTGTAGATCTTGCAATTTGGAATTCGTACCCAAGGCTTGAGAAGGTCATTCCAGTAGACAAATACCTGCAAACAAGAATTTTAATAATATTTAAAATTATTTAAGTGAAAATCTCAAAAATTAAATACTGTGTAGTAGAACTCGGACGCATGAACCTTAGTACAATATTAATACTCGTATATGTATATAATTTACAAATTTATTGTCTTCCGTTGTTACAGTAAAGGAAATGAAGAATAAATGGCGACATGTTAGAGATAATTACTATAAGTTTATGAACCAAGGCAAGAGTGGTGATGCTGCTCCCAATAAGAAAAAAAAATACATATATGCGGACTCTCTCACGTTTCTGCAAATCACAATGAAGAAACGAAACACGTCCGGAAATATCCCTAAAAACCTTGGAGCTGAAGAGAATGAGGAAGATGAAGAAGGTGTAAATACGGAGGACAGCCAAGAACCGGATGAGGTGGAAGATGCAGCAGGTGTTGCTAACGAAATCCGACGTCCAAAAGCTACTTCAATTAGGGAACGACAACGTAGAGTACACAACCTTACGCCTTTTCAAAATCAGCTACTAAAGAGATTAGATAATAGCTGCAGCAAACACATAGAAGATGATGCAGACAAGTCATTTTTAATGT